ACGTGCGCTGACGTTGTCTGGGCCAGCCAGCTAAGTCAAGCACAGCGCGGAAATCAATCAAGACAGCCTCGCAGCCCGACAATAGTAGGGCTATCCTGGGTCAAGCTGCCGAGCCTTGACGTCTTTTCCTTGGACGAACAAAAGGCAGATCGCAGATGTTCCAATGCATGTGATGCTTGAGGATATGTTTGGGACTGATTCAGTGCAACAAGACTGTTTTCCCTGTACTTCCAGTGGTAATCGTCGCATGTTGGCGCGGTGGAACTCTCTGAGGAAACTGTTTGATTGAACCATGTGGTGTTTTGTTTGCCGATGGAGCTTTGTGCGACAAGTGAACCGCCGCCTCGTCTCAACAATGGCGTGTTTCTCCCTTCTGGAGGGGCGTGGAGGCGGACTTGGAGGCGTCGGCCACCACATGGTAATCTGCGTGTCTGCGTGCTGGATGGTCCAGCTGCGGGTGAGCATCGGTAGATGGTGTGGGCGAGAAGGAAGAACATGCAGTAGGTTGCAGGCTGCAGGTGACTATCGGGCTTCCGTGCATTGCATCGATGGGTCGAATAAGCAACGAGTCTCAGATCGCAGCTGTCGGGAGCACGTCCGGGTTCGTCTTGATTTGGTGCAAGCTGGCAACAGACAGAAGGGTATGGACACGGACGCAAATACTTGCTCAGAGCCACACAGAGAGAGAGAGGCTCAGAGACAAGCTGTTGTTCTAGCGATTCTCGAAGAGCGGCCGTGTGCGTGCAGGACGATCTTGACATGAATAGCGGTCGAGCTAAGCTGGCTCGGTCTCAGAATCCATGCATCCAAGCGTCCGGCTGTTTGCTTGGTCTCACCCTGATCAGACGATGATGGAGACCCGACTGAGCGCCGAAAACCCCCTCCATGACACCTGAGGTAGCCGTCCGACGCGGTGCGATGGCGACACAGTCGATGGTTGACGGCGATGCTGCGGTGTTCTTTGGGCTGGACGATTTCGAGACAGCACAGCTGGGATGGTTGTGGAGAGCGTCGTCTATGCCGAGGGGGCGGCCGACGTGTGTGCACGCGAGTAAGAAACGTCTGGTCGTCGCATAGGTAACGGTTCGAATAGTTCACGAGGACGAGGTTGTGAAGTCGGGGTTATGTGAAGGAGGATAAAGTTGATCTAGCTCTAGCTGCACGGGATTAGCATAATACACCAAGATAGCTAGTGGTTAGAACTTTTGAGGGAGACCAGATGTTGTGAGGCAGGAGCGAGAAGGGAGCTTCACCGTTGACGGGATAGTCCAAGGTAAGGTAAGGTAAGGTAAGGTAGGTAGGGTGAGGACGACAAGGTATCGAGCACAGTGTGACAGAACTTGCTACCGTCTCTGAGTCCGTCAACTGCGAAGAGTGCTATCGAGGGTCCTAGCGAACGGTGGAGCACCGAGGATGTGGTTGGTGGAACAGGGGGCTGCTGGACGGTGGGATGAAAGTGACGAATGGCAGCTAAGCTATCGGTACCCACTCTACGATAATGGGCCAGGTCGACGAAACGCCCGTCCATGATTGGCTGGAGTCGCCGCGGCACTTGAGGTGCCTTGTGTTCACCGTTTTGGGCCATTCACCGCAATCCAGATTCTGGGCTTGTCCAGCAGTGGTGCCGAGGCGTTTTGGCTGCGCGACAGAAACCCGGGATCGGGAGTTTGTTGAGATCAAGTCACGATGCGTTAAATCCTGCTACCAGGTACATTCTGAACTTTACTTCAGAGTCGCCGTCGAGACACCGAGGACAAACGGCCCCCCCCCAAAGCATATCGATGTCGTAAGCAAGTGTTAAGCCGTACAGAGTACCATGCGGATGGATCTCAACCAGCAATTTGGCCGTGTCATGGTTCGAGTCCCCACATTCCCGACAGCAAGGACACTGGATGTCTTGGAACTGGACCAGGTCTTTGCCAGTTCACTGTCGCAGCTCCTTTGTGGAGGACGGGAGAAAGAGCTGCGGCTAGTCTAGCGGGTCTCCGTGATTCGCTTGCGTTTAGCACGCAGCTGAGCCAGGGTCCTGGGTCGGATACTGCCCTGTCTGGCCTGCTTGATTGAGCTTAGCTCAGCAAGTACTTTGCGTAGGTACCGACCCTCCGTCTGCTCTCCGTTTACATCCCCCATCGCGATTGACTTGACTGCTGCTTCAGTCTGTTGATGATGAGCAGCAATACGACTGAGAGGTCTGAGAACACGACGGCAACCGACTGGAGGCCGTCGTCGAGGCCGCGGGCTGTTGCTAAACCCCGCCAGCCACGACTTGCTTCTATTACTACCTATGCAGTAAGTTCTGTCTGCACATGTGGAATCAACGCAGGGGGCTCTTCGGCGCTCGTTCCTTCCCTAGCCGTCATCCAATCTCCCAAGTGTCTCTGCCACTCTGGTGGTTTTGACTCGGCCGTCAGACCCAAGGCACTGGGAACTGGCGCCCTACCGTTTCCCACGGTTTTGGGTACATCGGCTCCAGCGCCTGCATCCCACTACATCCAGCCAAGCCAGCCTATCCATCCGTCTGCACGCACGCTTTTCCATCCTTCCACTCCGTCCCCGATCTTCATTCAGCTGGCCTACTGTCGACGCCCGTTCAACTGAATCAATTCTCTGGCTGTGCTGTTCACCATCAACGTCCAACGGCCGCACTTTCACGGCCACTTTTCTCAACTCTCCTTCGGATATCGCCCATTCAATGTCGCAACAATAAGCTCGACCAAGTACCGAGATTCGAGTCTGCAGGCGTCGAGTCCCATTCCTGCAATCCCGGTCTCTCCACCCGGTCCGGTTTTACCGGCAGGACAGCAAGGCCAAGGCCCAAGGGACAGACGACGCTCCAATTCCGACCAGCAATTACGATCCTCCTTCTAACTTCTCGACCCCCTAGCCTTCTCTCGGTTCAACCTCTTCAACGAGCCTAGCTTTCGCCAACGGTCGGGACTCGACGAAACGCAAAGTCAACTCCTGTCGCCGTCTCTGAGAGTATGAAGATGGTGTTCCGATATCCCACACAAGACCTCGCTTAAACTTGATTCACACGCCAAACGACACCATCCCCAAAGACAGAGCGTACCGTACCGTACCGCACTTCTGTCATTGGATCTCTTGCAACTCGCGGCGGCTGCTGCGCTGAGTGCAGAGTAGCGCCGTTCCCCCAGTCGCACTGCCAGCCCTGGTCTGGTCTTTGTGCAACCACCCTCCTTGTCTCTTCTCGACTGCCCCCAATCCCGAAAGGCCGCCCACCGTCTCCAGAGAAACTTGGCCGCGCTAGTCCATCTGGTAGTGCCGGCTGTACGGTACGGATACTGCTTGGCCTGATACTGGCTACCAATACGGACACTACCACCATAATACATACCATACCGCATGCCGCATCCTGCATTTATCTGCATTACCGGTACACTTACGCCCACCCACGCAACACCCACGCATTTCTGCGACTCTCGTCGGCTCTGTCCAAATCCAGATCCATCATCCTGTTCGAGCCCAGTTAAAACAGCTACACTAGCTGCCATCCTACGTGACGCTACGCCAAAAGGCCTGGCCGCCTCCGTCTTCTCCTCGCCCTTTCGCCATCCCTCAATTGGAACCCCCCCCCCCTACAAAACCAATTCACCTCCCATCTCACTACCTCCGGCTGCGGGTTCCTCTATCCCTCGATTTTGATCAACCAAAATCAGACGAGCTCGAGCTTCCAAAAACAGTGGCCCAACCAACCCCAGTATCACCGTTTCCCCGTCCATCTGAACGACGTTCAATCAAGAACCACATGGCACAAGCTTTCGCCCGCGGACACCTCGTCGCCGCCCAGTTCCTCTTCTCAGCTTCAACACCAAGCAAACGTCATTCCTGCTCCTAGCACTCACCATCCCAACCTGCCCTAGTCCTTACTCTGGGCCTTTTGTGGCCGCCACGGCGCCTCTCGCCCAGGCCTTAGCGTCTTTGCGGATGCCTTCATAACACCAGCCCGCCCCCGAAGCAAGCTTCAGCTCCTGTTCCCTCTCTCTCCCCGGGACATTCAAGGGACACCCGAGAACTTCCTCGTCGAACTATCAATATGTTCGACCACTTCACCATGGGGATGCAGGCTCGTCCTGTCACTGATGACCTGGATGCCAAGACGCATCTATCCCCGAGACAACGACCGCGGGACCTAGACTCACCAACGACACCTGCAGCTCCTCCAACCGTCTCGCCAAGCTGTAATAGCATGTACCAAACTCCACCACAGCCCATCGACAACCTCGTTCATGAGCTCAGCAGACAGACTTTGTTTCCCGAATTTCTTCGACGCCCGACCCGGCGGTTGTCAGGATCATCACCATCCATCATCGCAGAGTTGTCGGCGGTTGCTCTTGAGGTGGACAATGACTGTAACATGGATATTTCCATGGACGATGCCAAGGAACATGAACCAGTTGTTGATTGGAAGAGATCAAGGCGGCAATGGCACAGTCGTTTCGTCAACAATCCCAACAACGCTCGCGCCATGGAGGCTCGTCTGAGAAATATGATATCAGATAAAACGCAATGCGACATTCGCCCACCAGCGACGGCATTACCTACCTCATCAGTGCCCACATACCCGGATCTCCCAAAGATCGAAGCAGACAACCGCCAGAATCTTGAACTGTCCCTCCGACTTGAAACGGATGAGGGTTTCGGTGAAGACGACAACGACGAGCTGATGCAAAGAGCGTTGTCAGCCGAAAAGCAACGCTTACTAGGCGGGTCTGACGGTCTTCGACATTACGGAGCATTGAGGTTCAGGGGCTCGGCCGAGACGGCTCTTCGATGCCAAAATGTCGTCAGGCATCGGCCACGCATGCGGAAGCGCAAAGGACCAGGGCCATCTCAGGAGCCGCGCCCAATGAAATCAACAAGCTCGAGAGAATAACCAACTACAACAAGAACAACAACTCTATCATCTTCCAACTTTTCAGCGATTTGCACAAGCGACGGATGGAGAATCTGGCGATATACCCATGGGACATAGGCGGCGCATGGATTTGAGTTTGGCAACGGCGTTTTTGGAAGGATATTGTTCTTCAACTTGGTTGCGACAGCGTTGGGTCTCCACGCGCGGCAGAAGTTCCGGCCTTTTTTTCAAGGACGAGACCTTGAGGGGGGATCTTGCCGGCGGCGTTTTCTTGTCCGGCGCAACATTGGAGTTTGGCGTTTACAAGTGCGGCTCATCCGCGAAGGAAGCCTGCTTGTCTCTATTTTTTTCAGCCTGCAAGTATGACTTTCGGCACCCGGCACCGGAGGTTATCGGAGTGCATTACGGACAAGATTTGATCGAGTCATAGACCGAAGGTTGAGGCAAGCCCGGTCAGCCTCCGGGTTTTCGCCCTGTGGCTTGCAGACGGCGAGGCGTCGTTGGACCATAATATGGCCGAAAAGTCTGTCAACTGACGAAAGAAGAATTGTCAGCTGCTTTCTTGAAGTGATTGGACAATGGCTCATTCTAGAGGATCCGAGACGAAATCAACAATCAAAATTCCCCACGTTGCGGAGGGTCGCATCACCTTTTTCAACCGTTTTCAAAGTGAGCAATCGTGATGACTAAGGTTTCACAGAAGAATATCCGGTTTTGATGCTTTCAGAAGAAACGTGCTCTTAAGGGGCTGGGGAGCAGCGTGGAACGTATAACGGCTTCGCGTCACAACGCGAGCAAGCTGTCCCAGTCAATTGGGAAATCATTGTGGCCAACGCAAACTCTGAAGGGAGAGTCTATTCATGCAAACAGTACAATGGACAATGCGACCACTTTTAAGCCCAGCGACTTGTACTGACATGCCCTATTAGACGTCCGAGACCTCTCCGCCGTTCCTCCCGATAAGTGCGTGACCAGGGAGATAACTTGTCAGACATTCCAATTATCACCGGGCTAACACACAAGCCAGGCCCCCACCACCTTGAAGTCTTACTCTTTCGCTGCGTCGATAGTCGACTTGGCAGGCATAACTCCCGGGCGACGAGATGCCGAATTAAACTTTTTGGCGGTAGACCTACGTCAAACGACGTCGGCCTTGATTTGGCACCTGCAGTAGTGTATCATCGGTAGACACCTAATCAAAATGAAGTTTGCTGACAGCCGGGATAGTGTCAAATCATGGGCCGCAGATTGGCTGAGCAGAGTCAGTCGATCGAGGCTGAAGCCTGGACCAAGCTCCGGCGCAAAAGGCGTGATGGTGCCTTGAAGTTGGACGGCGCCATAGCCCTCAGCCCGCGTCTGCCCTTTCTTCCTCGAAATATATCGATTTTCCTTGTTGTAATCACGATCGCTGCCACTGCTGCTTTGCCCTGGCATATCTATTTTACCCATTGGTTACACGCCTTCCCAGCGGGTTGGTTTGGACATGCAGGGAAGGGTGATCAAGACCTTCAAAACCACGAGGGATCACATCACCCCGCATCAACCACGTCAAAGATTTTGGATTGATTGTGGCGTTTTCTGTCTGATTCAGGCCCACACGCAGCTTCAAAGCACTGCGGGTATCAAGGTAATTATTATTCATTGACCTCGAGCAAGAAGTTGGCAGGCAAGACCCGACGGAGCGGACTTGGGGTTGCATGTGCCTGCAGTGCGAGTAACGATTTTTCTTTGTTGACTCTCGGTTGGAGGAGGGGAGGGAACAATTGTATGCTGGGCCTTTACTCGGGCCCCCTCTTGTCAACCGACGTTGCCGTGAAAGAAACCGCACTGATTTTGCCCTGTTTCTTTGATGGTGCTGTCTGCCTGCCATACCCACCCCCGGTTTTAACAGGTACAGAGGGGGGCCGAGATGTTGGACTGGAATGCGGCCAGCCTCGCTGGGTCACTAGACGACGTGGGCAACATTCCTTTGGGTATCCGGTCGCTGAGGGCATCCCTCGCCGAAAGCACGGTGATCTATGCGATCTCAATTCCTGTGTGGTGGTCTCCTGGCTGCTTCCATATTTTGCGCAATTGTTGCTGTGGCAGGATGAGAGACATGAACCGGACGATATTTGTTGACTCCCGTCCCCTCAACCTGATGCGTACTTGCAACCATCGACGGTCTTCATTTCCGTACAAGAATCCCATTCTTCGAAGATTTACCCCAGTTTCCAACATCTTCATTCTCTCTCTCTTTTCCCACTTACTTTGCTGAAAACGATCATTACATCTACTCTCCTTTACAGACTTGCATTTCCTGCCACCCATTGCTTCGCAGCCAATACACGCAGCGGAGCCGATTAACACCCTCCGCGCCCGTTGTTCTGCAATCCCCGCCTTTCCACCTGCTCATGATCTCGAGCTTGGTTCGTTTGCGGAACTGAACGCAGATAGACACACAGACAGGCCGAGACAACAGACACAACCAGAACCAGAGACACCACGAGAATGACAGTCGCCGTCTCGCATTGGACGAGGAGCCCAGACACCAGTGTCAGGCCCAGCTCACACCCGACAGACTACGAAGACGACATGACATACTCGGAAGTTCATTTCTCAGTAGAGCCCATGGACGCAGACAAAGACAGCAACGGGGGATCGTCCCACCTGCATTGGCAAGGGGTGACAGCAGCAGAGACAGCGGCAGGAGGTGGGCACTGGGGGTCGGCCGCTGGTAGTGCAGTTGACGACGGTCTTTTCTTCGAGGAATTTGTCGACCTAGAGAGGCTTTCGACGGCCGGAGGGGACGAGCTCCCTCCGTCTTCTGCCTTACCCGACTCGTTCGTCTACAACATGCCACTCCCCGCTCATGGGTCTTCGTCTACAACAAGAAGCGTATCGGACGATCTGGACGAGCTGCTAAGTTGCCACACACAGCCGCTCGTGGAAGCTAGGGCTAGCGCTGCAGCAGGTCCCGCTGCCACATTAGTGTCCTCATCAGCAGCCGCTAGAGTAGCGGCGGCGACTTCAGACGCGGTGGTTCCGCCAGCTGTGGGCGCTCGGGGTGTGCAGTCTTCGTGGATCGACCGCGCAGAGGAGCAAGGACAAAGGAAAGCTTCTTCCTATCCGGACACAGCTGCTGCTGGCGGGGCCAAGTCGATCTCTGACTCTGAGCTCCTCCGCCTTGAAGGCATATCGTTGAAAGCGTCGCCTTCTCGCGCTCCTTCTGTCGTTGTTTCCCATCCTCCTACTCCTCTTCTTCAGGCCTCGTCCGCTACCAGCAGCAACACAAACCTCCACCTCGCCGGCAGCAGCAATACCAGCAATACTAACAACAACAACGTCAACCACACGAACAACGGTGGTCGTAAGCCGAGCAGCTTCTTCAAAGCCGTCGCCTCCAAACTGCAGCAGAAAGCTGCCTCAGTCCGTCATAAACAGCCCAACATGTCATCCGTTGGCGTCGAAATCAAGGGGCCCCTCTCGCCCACCGTCTCGCCTCGCAAGGCCTTCAAGCTTCGCCCCGAGCACCTGACCGGCCTCGGCGGACCGCCTACCAGACTTCCTCTCTCTCCTCCCAACAGTGCCACCATCCCTCAAGACTTGCCTACTTCCTCATCAGCTGGTAGCAACGGCATGCCCTTTTGTGGTGGATACGTTGAGGATCCCTTCTTCGATGGTAGCTCTGTTCCCATGTTCCGCCGCAGCGACCCTACCACCCCCATGGACACCCCCGTCCTCGACGACAAGAGCGGCATGTTCTATCACCACCAACAGATGAGCTCGGGCAACGTCAACAAGGCCGCCTGGCCCATGGCCACCACCACCCCTCAGACAGACTCTCATGCCGCCTGGTCCAACCCTTATGCCACCGATGGCCTCGACAACCAGTGGTGGGACAACAGCCACATGGACCTTTCAACAAACTCACAGTACCAGGCACAGAATGCGCGCAATGCTACCTTCAACCTGGCCATGCACACGCAACAGAGCGAGCTGCCCTATGAATACAACAGCCTCGCCGCCGCTGCACCCGAGATGTCAGGACTCATGATTCACATGCCTCAACCTCGCACCACCTCATCACCCGTCGTCCACTACCAGGCACAACAGCTTCACCACCCCCAACAGATGACCGAGCGCCGGCCCCGCATGCCCCGCGCTCCTTCGGCCGGCGCCCGCCACATGTGCATGTCGACGCCCATGCGCAAGACCCGCAACCCGAGCCGCACACGCCAGGGTAGCCGCGATTCCTCGACGTCGCCCACTCCCACGAACCGTTCCCGTCACAGCAGCGGCGGCTCACTTGCGAGTGTCGGCGGCGGAGCAGCCCTCAGTGCCAGTGTGAAGAAGCGCCGGTCGTGGCAGCGCCGCGAGAGCATGCGCACACCATCACTCGGAGGTGGAATGGGCGCCGCGGCCGAGGGCCTCGGCTTCGTCAACTTCACCCCGAGCGACAAGAACATCCTCATGACCGGAGTGGCACCCAGCGGAAGCTCAAAGACCAAAGCCCGCCGCGAAAAGGAGGCGAACGAGAAGCGTAGACGGCTTAGCGAGGCCGCCATCAAGGCCGTCAAGGCGGCAGGCGGCAACGTCGACAAGTTGGTCGAGGAAGGATTCGTTTTCTAATCATGGTCATTCTTTTTGCTTGGTGGACTTGCAGCAAAATACGCATGGGAGCGCCTGGGAGTTTACGGTGCGGAAGGCTTATGGGAAAGTGATATCGGGCGTTTGATGGGATCATCACACGAGTAATTCTCTTCTTGTCGACGGCTGGTCATCGCTATCTGCTCTTTGACTTCTTTCACAAAACGGCATAGAAGCGCAAGCTTCTACCAATATTGTTATCAACCGTTGACGACGTTGGTCGCCACTTACTTATTACCCACCATTACCCACATTTATTAGGTAGTTAATCTCGGTTTCTTATGTTTGGAGTACACCCAAAATCAAAGGCTGGAACCCGGGTCACGAGATATGGAAGGGGTTGGATATCCTAGCAGAGCAGACTCAATACCAATAACAAATCACATCACAATTAAAAAACAATACTTGCAACTATTCGCTACCTACCACAGTGAGAATCTTTGAGTTCAGCCAAGCGAGCTTTGCGTACATCATCACAACACCATCATCAGATTACCTTCAACACCGAGATTTAGCACACTACACGCAGCTTACATGATGTTGCCGATCACACATCACCAACACATCAGCAACAACAACAATAACAACAACACACGCATCACCGACGCCCGAGGAACATGATGACTGACGCCTCGCGCAGCCTTTGCCAGATCCCAGTCCAGAGGGTCGGGGCAGCCTCTTGCCGTGCACTATGGTGCACTACGACGGCCGTCGCCCAACCAGCCGTTAGCCGATCACGACCGGACGCTGCGCCCAAGTCACCGAGAGACTACGCCCCCTCTTCCTTTGACGACTGTAGCGTATGGTTGGCAGCCCGCCTCATCCGTCTCCCGCGGTTGACAGGCCTGGTCTGCCTGGCGATGGGGGAGGGGAAGGGAAGGGAAGGGAACGGACGACATCGGGAGTCAACACAGACCAGCATCCGATCAAGCTGGAGACGAGAGATGGGCCAGAATCACGAATATGCCTAAGCAGCTCGGAAAGTCCAGGCCCAAACCCCAACGCGCGGCTTGTGCTCACAACGAGGCTTGGCAATGACACCAGATGAGGTGGG